GGGCTTACTATTTTCTTTATATTGTCTGTAGAATCAAAGTGGGTTGGAATTACAATAGTTTATGCATCTTATATGCTCTTATCTAAAGTGGCAGCTTTTTGCCAGTTCTCTTCATCACATTTTCTTGTCGAGAATGAAAAGATGATCTGATTTAAACATAAAAAAAGGCCAAAGATTTGTTATTATCTGTATGGAAAACGGAACAAATCATCCATACAGCAGCCCATCTTTCTGTCTTTTGTGTTGTGGTTGTCGTGGCAACTGGATCATTCTCATGAAACTTTGCTGTTGCATCACCTCTAGATGGCATCATACTGTGACAGAGCAGCAGTCTGTGTCTTGTCAGAGTGACAGGAGACAACTCTTCCAGGAGAGGTTAACATTTTTTTACTTTTTTTATTTTACATTTGCAGAGAACTTTTTTTGCCCTTTTGGGGTGGGGGGGGGGGGTGCTCTGCCATCTGATCCAACCTGTTCTGCTCACCAATCTGTCCTTCCTGCAGATTCTGTCAAGTCTCAGGTTTTGGTTGCTTTAACTTTGTGTGTGTGTCTGTGTGTGTGTGTGTGTGTGTGTGTGTGTGTGTGTCCAGAGCAACTAACGGTGGGCAAAATCTAAAATCCTTATACTGTATTTAAGGTTAAAAAATTGTACTCCAGTATGTGCTTTCTTAATATATATTATAATAATTATAATAACAAATTATGTAGAATGTAAGATTTTTTTATTGTTTAAGATTGTGTAAGATTGTTTATGTGATATAAAAAACACAAAGGCTGACAGTATTTTGTGGATTCCTGGGTATTTTTTGTGATATTTTAGGTGTTAGTCTCACCAGCTGCAGGAGGTTTCCTGTCATTCATCAGGGATAAAACGTTCTTGTCCAACAACTAACAACAACTGACATGAAATAATCTGTTACAGTTACAATTACAGTAGGCATAGGCTGACTAATTGTAAAATGGATGTTTTGTGCTTCGGGGAAAATGTCTCTAATCTCTGTTAGATAAAAAGCTTTAAAGGTTGAATGTTCTATAATTATTGTATTGTTATTTCATGTAGTTAATGCTCTGTGTCTGTGTTATAGGTCTCTCTTTTAAATGATATTGCCTGTCTAAATAAAAGTAAATAAAATAGAATAAGGGAGAACATTTTAGAACTGTTGTACTTCTCAAACACTTAATGTTCAAATGTCATAGTTTAAACTTAAGGGAACTACAGTTATGAAATAGTTTAATGTTTTACCTCTTTGATTATATTTTTTCAAATGTACTTAATGAATCAGAATCAAGTTTACTTTTCATCATTGGCCTTATTAACAGTATCAGTTGTAATGAGAGAGCCGAGAGATGGATTTAGCTCAGGGGTGCTCTCTTACATTTTATAATATATGGACTAATTCAAGTACATAATATTATACTTAATTTAAACAGATTCTTTCATTTTTCTGGACTAAGTCATATCGTGCCTAGAAGATTAAATGTGGACAAAGACGTGTTTAAATTTCTGACCCACCAACACAGTGAGGTCTTTTATTTATCAAAACGATTTAAACACATCACACATTTTACACATTGATTGGCGTAATTGATTACAATAACACAGCTTAATTAATGAGCTTTACAATGAGAAATCATACGGCCATGATTCCTCACTTGCAGCTTGAAACAACAGACATATCCTTAGATCTTAAATTAATGTCTGCAGGCTTTAGCTTATCTTTACTGGCAGAAAAATATAGAGATGGAGTAAACTTTAAGAAGGAAAAGTGGATACTTAGGGTTAACTAAGATAATAAAGAAAAGATGGGGAGTTATCTTGTTTGAAACCAGATAGCACATTTCCCGGTGATTTCAGCTAGATGGTACCCGAGCGTCGACTCTTTACCTTGGTGGGGTTTCAGAGAGGCCTTCTCCTGGCGTCCAGCAAGGCTGAGTCTTTTTATCTCCAGGGAGTTATATCCGCTTCTCATCAACTTGGGACCACGAGGCTGACTGGCCCAGCTTCCAAAATAAACTCCCCCGAAGGATAGGGTTAAGTTAAGTGGAATTTCAGCAAACGTGCTGAACTCCTGAGATGTTGAATAGGTCTTTAACGTGATGACCTGAATCAACACTCCAGACAGGTGTCATCTTTCAGAAAAAGACCACCGTGGACTTCACCTTCTCCAGCAGAACTCTCTGTTCTGAACTTTTGGAACTTCTGTTCTCATGGAACTTCTGTTCTACCCAGAACTAGGAAGTGTCGACTTTTAAAGAGTTCTGCTTCCGGTCACTTTTAGGAAGTCCTGATTGGTTGAAAGAACCAACAGGGGTGTGGTTTTAGTGACGTCAGAGGGTCATTACAAGTCAGAAAAACAGCGGAGATGTTTAGGAACAGACAGAGAAATGTTTTGGAGAAATGACAGACTTACAGGTGCCAGTTTTCTTGTTTCTGTCTGAGAGGTTTAAAAACATGACAGTTCGTTCCAATAACTTGCTTCGGACTGTCTCCGACTTTTGACCGACATCACACCTTTCTCATTTCAGACAGAAGATCAAAAATGCATAATTACTTTGTAACATAGACATGTAACTTGATTTCTACTTTGAATGAGGATTAAAAAAATCATTAATACTGTTTCACAGTTGATTTAAAATGAGTAGTTCACTTCAACATTTAAAATGGTTTGAACTAAACACACTTTTGATTATCAAGACATTGTAAAATAGTAATGATAATATAAAAAAGAGAGTGTTCTTTCAATTGATTAGTTCAGGATACAATTAGAAAGTCTCTGGATGAGCTAATTTGTATTTCTGGATTCAAATCAATGAAATAACAGTTCCTGTCCCATGAAGGTCTTCAGAGGCAGGTTTGACCGGAGGCCGAGTTCACTACACAGTGTATAAGCATTAAAGCACCATTTTATTTTATTTTATTTTTTCTATTTGGCTTTTACAGTACCATTTCCAGTTCATTTATCCTCATGCAACTTTGGAAAAACCAGTGGAACAAAGATTAAACTGTGAGATTTTTATTGGGAACAGTGTACTTTGAATTTTAGTACTAGTTCATTGTACGATTTAAGGGGAATTTGTAAAATACTGCCAAAAAAAAAAAAATCCTCAGTACATACTGTAATTAGATTTTTTTCATTCATTCAACATTTATTTATACAGGCTAGTGTCACTGAACCACGAGGGCTCATTTACAAGTGGGACCTGTTCCAGACCAAACAAATAAAGTACAGATAACAATAAATAATAGTAGCAACAAACTACAGTAAAAATGCAGTTAAAATAAGAGTAGTGTATAAAACAATAAATCAGGTGTCATCATTTTGACAAATGAGTGAGAAAATCCAGCTTTCTCTCTATAACTCAGGGATACATTACTACAGAGACGTTTAAAGTTTAAACAGACCACTCAAAGTTGGACTTGACGCCAATGAACTAGCATTTTATTTTAAAATATTTTGTACAGCCATGTTTTAAGTTTCATGATCTTTGGAGTGTGATGTCACTCTAACTTTTGGGCTGTTTTCCCAAATTTTTACTAACTTACTTTACTCCTGCTGCTTGGTGACTCAGTTAGTAGAGCTGTTGCCTCTCAGAGAGATGGTTGCTGGTTCACCAGGGGCCTTTCTGGGTGGAGTTTGCATGTTCTCTCCATGCATGTTTTCTCTGGGTACTCCGGTTTCCTCCCACAGACCAAAAACATGCACGTTAGGCTGATTGATAACTCTAAATTTTCCCTAGGTGTGAGTGAGAGAGTGAATGATTGTTTCTCGTTTGTCTCCATGTGTCCCTGTGATGGACTAGAAACCTGTCCAGGGTGGCCCCCGCCTCTCACACAGTGATAACTGTACATGGGCACCAGTGACCCCCACGACCCGAAAAGGCCAAAGCAGGTAAAGATGATGGATGGATGGATACTGGCCCACAGACTACATTTCTCTGACAAAAGATCAAAAAGTAGGCTTTTATTAAAAAAAAAAAAAAGTTCACCTAGTGTGTCTTTCACT